TCATAAATTGTTGTTTAAATTTACTGTATAAATAAAGGTGTACGTGCCACGAAGTGTGCATATTACATAGATGCAAACATCAGATAACCTTAAAACATGCGCGTGTAGTTTTCTTAAGAAATTCAATACAGTGATAATTTATACTACAAATTTAGATATTACTTAACATCTAAATTTTGTATCAAACTTATTATTAGAAAGTGTGAATTTGCTGCCACAATGAGAATTCTAAAAACATGCAACGTCTTAAAACAGTAACATATGCAATTCAGGCAACACCATCAATGTCTATGGAAATCGTACTTAGAACTAGCTGCTCTCTAAATTTTTAGGAATAAGAAGAAAGATTGACAAGAAGTTATCATCATATGCAGTTTTATTACCATTAATTCGCGATTGACTCGGAATGATTCTCTGGAATGGTCTTTTATTTACGCCAATGTTGTTCTATTTGGATACCATTTGGTGCCTGCTTGCGGTTTCACGCACCATCATAGCCAGTTGGATCGCCATTCTCCGAAGAGAGACGGCGACCTAAGAAGAAGAAGGTGCCTGCTTGGCAAATTTTGGTGACCCCATCTTCCGAATCTGTCTAGTCATAGTCTGACCAATGGATTTGAAACAACGTGGAAATGGTAAGGAGAACGCAGTTTTCTAAAAACATGGCGGATTCAGTATGCGATATCTTTTAAAAATATATAAGGGATTTCAATAATATGTCCCAGGAAACTTTATAATATTCATCATCATCATCATTCTCAGCTTGTTCAACCATATCCAATTATGGTGTAGCCCTCCCTCACATATTCAGATACTCTCCTTGTAGTTGGGCCCATTGTTGTTTATTGTTGGCTATGCGGGCCCAAGTTATCCCTGCTAATTTTCTAATATTATCGTCCCATCTCAGGTTCGGTCTTCTTCTAGGACTCTTAATTCCTCGTGGGTACCATGCTGTAAATTTTGTAGTTCATCTATTGTTCGTTCTTCTTGCCAGGTGTCCTGCCCATTGCCACTTGATGGATTTGATTGGGATGATGATGACACTCTATTCTTTTACGCAGTTTTCTTGGTTATTCTAATCTTTCTTGGTTATTCCCAGTATATTTCATTCCATTGAGCGTTGTGCGACCTGCAGTTTCCTTTAATGCCTGTTTTAAGAGTCCAGGCTTCGCATGCATAGGTCATGAATGGTAGTACACATTGGTAGATAGAGTGGTATTCTGGATTTGAATATGATTGAGTTTTTCCCATAAGTACTCCATGCTATCTTAATTCTTCTGTTGATTTATGGTAGTAGAGATCCCGAGCTGTGTAATAGTTGTCCCAAATATATTATATTCTTCTACTACTGTTTCCTGTGTTGTGTTATTTATTAGAATGTCTTCTTTCGACTAGTTCGTTTAACATTACTTTAGTTTTTGCTAAGTTCATTTTGAGACCCATTTTATTGTCTATAAAGGCTATAGCTAATGGAAGTTCGTATTATATTGTTCTGCTGATAGTTTCTCTTAGTGTATTAGAAACTGAATGTGATCAATCGTGTTGAAGCCGCTTCTAAAGCCTGCTTGTTCTCGTTGTTGTGCAGCGTCTAGCGTGTTTCGTATTCTGTTGTTTATTATTTTTATGAATATCTTGTACGTTACTGATAGTAGGCTTCGCTTATAGGTCTATAGTCTTCTTTGCTGCCTTTCTTATGAATTAGAATTATGTTGGCGCTATTCCAGTCTTGTGGTATATGTTTTCTCCTTAGATTATATTTTTTTTTGGATTTCTTTATAACTGAGTCTATACGCGAGTAAATAAATAAATATGATTTATATATGACCAATTATTTACTCTAAGATCTTAAGATTTCTAGAAAAACTTCTCTTAGAACCCTTATGATTATTATACAGGGTGTTCTAGAAATAAGTGCAAGTATTTTAAGGGGTGGTGGATCTCGATAAAAGAAGCATATTTTTTTCTCTTTATCGTTTTTCAAATAAGTCCAAAATAACTTAATTATTTTACTTTGAAAATTTCCAAAAAAAAATATTTTTTGCTAAAATTTTGAGAACCACAGGATCTTTTCTGGATTTTCTTTCTTGTAAATTTAATCTAATACCTATGTTGCCATATTATCAAAGAAATTATGTTTTTTAACTAAAAACTAAAAACATTTCCAAAAAAATTTTTCAAAAATTTCGAATTTCAAATTTTTTTTTCGCGAAAAAAACAAAAAGGCATGTTTCTGGGGTTGAACTATACTACCAGTTAAAATACTTAAACTTATTTCTGGGACGCCCTGTATATTTTTATGTTATGCCATAAATGTCTTTTGCGTTGTAAATGCAATTATATTACATTGTTCTATTAATCTATATGAAAGAACAAATTTGATAAAGTTCTATTTTAGTTTCTGTATACAATCGAAAAATAAATAGATTTATATGGGGCGGACACGTGTAGCCTTAAAATAAGCGTAAATTTGCTTCAAGATATTTTTCGTCCAAGGCATTGTTGTTTTCTATCATAAATAATAATTGTTCCAAATTTGCTTTGTAAATTGGAATGCGCGTGCGATGGAGCGTGTGTGCATATTACATGTAGGTACACAATTATTAGATAAGTTTATCATTGATTTTTTAATTAACTCTAATGATTTCAATTTATCTCTACATCCACCTTATTCAATGATTCCAAAGTTTTTTAAAATGATTAATTCAATAACAACTTTGGTGCATATTTACTAAATCTATTTCTCCTAAAACTAGAAACATTTGTAGACTAAACAAACCAAGATTTAAAGAAAAATTACATTTTTTTATTTAAATCAGATTTCTAAATATTTAAAGACTAATTTTCAGTTGAAGTCTTGTTCTAAATGGCTAAATCTTCGTAACTCCGCCAGATATCAATAACATTAACATTTCTATGGCGCGTGTCGTTTTTCCACATCGCATCGGTCACTGATATGTTTTGTCCTGTAAACTTTGCCTACGCTGGTATTAGATCAAAACGATTTTATTTGAAAATGGTCTTCAGAATAAATTTAGTACAACCTAATATTCACAATATCAAGTACTTATTGGAGATGGAAATGTCCGTAGAAATTAAGCGGTAGATATTTTGAAAGAAATAGAATACAAACTATTGGAGAAGGCAGAAATTAGCTTGATCAAAAAGATACAAAACATCCTTGACTCCAGAATATCTTCTGACAATGGTTTGATTTAACTTTTGGCACCCTGTTTGTAGACCATTTTTTTAATGTATTCGTTTTATAATGGAGTAATTAAGATTATTGTAAAAATGAATGAATACAGAGTAAGAATGTACAAGATTGCATATTATAATACTCTGTTATATTAAGAACAAAACCTGATTGTTATTGTTTAAAATTTACCTTGACAATGACAATATAGATAGATCTAAAAATATAATATCATTTTTTATTTTTGTTTTACCACTTGTTTTTGTTTTCGGTCACAACTAAATGATACAGTCAATATTGTTCTAAACACGATAATGAATGTCATTCATAACGCAAAACTAAATGTGAATTTCCAAATAGGCGCAAAATGAAAAGTTAAATATTTATTTTAATATTTCGTTAATTTTCAGTTTTGCAATGAATATTATTTTAATGCAATTTGTTTTTCCATTGTGAATTTAATAATCGTGTATTACCAAAAAAGTAAGCATGCTACTCAAAGACTGTATTTTATTGTGTTGCTATGGCTAACCAAGGGAAAATGTCCTGAAAAGAATTCTGTATTTTTTTTCACTACTAGAAGATAAAAAAACTGTAAAATATTTTTTTTGTAAACACCATTGCTTTGAATCCAAACGGAAACCAACTTGTCAGCGGTATTTTATGTAGTAATATAGTAATAAATAGGTCACAAAATTTTATTTTTACCTAATGTAGCATTAAAAATCATCTGGAACTATAGAACAATCTCCAAAAATAATATTTCTTATAAAATGACTAAAAATAACTTCCTACCAATTCCGGCCTCTTATAAATCTTTTTAAAAACAACGATTGTGGCAAAAAAATTAACTTGCTTCTAAAGTATCAATATCATCTAATAGTTTCAAAAAAAGTCATTTACTATATATACAGGGTGGTCTTAAATAAGTGCAAATATTTTTAGGGGTATTACATTCCGAGCCCAAAAACACGCCGATGAGCTTTATTTTGAGAATTTTTTTTTGAAAATTTGGAATTTTTTGAAAAATGTATTTAATTTTTAGTTAAAAAACATAATATATCTTCATAATATGGTAATATACAGGGTGGTCCGAATTGTATTCCGAAAACTTCGACAGCATGTTCTGCAGATAAAAATAAGTAAAAAAGTTCGTATAAATGTATGTCTTAAAATGCTTAGTTTCGGAGAATAGTAGAAGAAGAAGTAGTAGTAGAAGAAGTGTAGATGTTTCATTTTTATTTCGATTTTTTCCAAATAATTTATGAAGTAAAGACAATATTTGGATGAAAATTTGTGTCTGGGAGTTTTTTGACATGAGAAAGTTGATTTTGATGTCATTATGACCCCTACTTGTAGAGGGCGCCACCTACATATTTTTTAACTGGTTTGAAAAATAATAACTTTTCGTCGGTACCTGTATAAAACTACTGAGTAAAAAATATACATTTACGACGTTTTTTACCTAAAAAAGGTCTCTTGGTAAAAATCGCTCCGAGTCTCGAGACTCGGAGCAAAATATCTCGAGTTCTCGAGATTCAAAATAATATATATAATAAAAATCGAAATTATCAATAGGGCGCGGTGGGGTAAAAATGAGACAGTAAAAATTTGAGGTAAAAATGAGACAGTGAGTTTTTTCTATTATTAAACATCTTTTTCTAAACTCTGATTAAGTAAAAACGTTAAGTCTTCTTTTAAGTTGAGCATGCCTATATTAAATTTAAACAATTATGGCACAGAAAATATCAAACATGATGTATTTGAAGGAATCACAAAAAAAAACACTCATAAACTTTCAAATAAAAGGCGCCAACTTTTCCCGCCACGGCAGCCTAAATTGTCGGAGCGACTCGTTTAAAGTCGGAATATTGTTGTGTTTGTCTTGTGATGCGTTGGAACCATGTGCAACAGTCTTTCTTTGATACCTGACCCGAGCGCTCGTAAAATTATTCTGGGGTAAAATTGAGACTTGTGTGGGGGTAAATGTGAGACACCTGTTGGAGTAAAAATGAGACAGGTAAAATTTGCGTTTTCTACTAGTAACTTATTATTATTCTAGGATAACTGGAATTGTTTTCAAAATGCCTAGAACATACGTTCCTAAATTAAAAAAATATACAGCAAAAGACTTAGAAGAAGCCATAAATCTTGTTAAACAAGGGAAGCTTGGGGTAAGAGAGGCAGCACGACAATTTAGAATCGACAAGTCCAAGCTTAGTAGGTCGCTTAACAACAAAAATAAGTCGAAACAAGGTAGAAAGCAAGCCTTATCAGTGGATCAAGAAGCTGATCTAACCCAAAAGATCACCGTGATGGCTAAATGGGGATTTGCTGTATCCAAAGAAGAAATTAAACGTGTTGTTCAAACTTACGTCAATGAAAATAATTTAAAAACCGTTTTTAATAATGGAAAACCCGGAGATGACTGGTTTCGGACGTTCTGCAAAAGGAATGGACTAAGTCAAAAAAAGATGGAACAGTTGGAAAAGTGCCGAAGAACTGCAACCAGTGACCCCTTTATCATCTATTCCTTTTATGATAAACTTGGGGAAACAATTAAGAAACTGGGATTACAAGATAAACCCTCACATATATTTAATCTAGACGAAACTAGTTTTAATTTAGATCCCGGTAGAGTAAAGGGTGTTCAGCGATAGGTAAGTTAGGATTGTAATACTTAAACTATTTTTTAATCTAATCCACTTGTTTTGGATAGGACAAAGGGTTCATCGGAGTATCGAAGGTTCGGAAAAGAAAATGTTACAACAATGGCCTGCATTTCGGCAAACGGAGATCTCTTGCCGCCCTTAATAATATATCAAGGACAAAATTTATGGAGCACTTGGAAAGGAACGCAAGACATTGAAAATACATGCTATGCTGTATCCGACAAGGGATGGATGACAACAGCGGTTTTAATTCTTGGTTTCAAAAGTTCTGCAAGATGGTCCAGCAAAGACCCCTTCTTGTTATAATGGACGGGCATGTTTCTCACTTGGCTACAGGGACCATAGAGCTTGCCATCCAGAATAACATTACCTTATTTAAACTACCACCACATGCGACTGACCTTTTGCAACCATTAGACAAATGCTGTTTTGGACCTTTAAAATTAAAATGGAATCAAAAACTTATAGAGTGGCAAAGATTAAACCAAAGGAAGCTCACCAAATGTGAGTTTGCAAATATGATCTGTGAACTATGGAATGAGGGAATTTCACGAGATGTCATAAAACGATCGTTTGAAACTACTGGTCTGTATCCCTGTTCTAAGGAAAAATACCCAAAAGAAAGACTTAATGAAGTGAAGCTAAAAAGATATAACGAATGTGCACAACGAGATACTGTACTAAATAGTAGTATGTATAATTTAAATGCCGAAGAGGCTGAAATTGAAACAGTTGAAGAACCTAATAGAGAAGATAAACACAGAGAGGGAGAAGAAAAGATAACAGAACCCGAGGAAAACCAGATAATAAATGAAATTAATTTGGCATCCACATCAAATATTTCAATCGCGGGCACAGCTTCATCGTCCACCACGTTCGAAGAAATTTTGCTTGCCAAAATCAATAAAACAAATCCTGAGACTAAGACAAGACGTAAGATTAATTCAAACTCTGCGGTTCTTACGAGTGCTGAATATTTAGAAAGCATTAAACAAAAAGAAGTCATTCAAAAAGGTAGAGTTCAAACAAAAAAGGTACAAAAGAAAAATATTCAAAAAATAGATCGAGTTCCAAGTTCTTCCTCAGAAAGTGAAGCCGAAGGCATTATTCTTCAAGACGAAAGTGATGTGGATGATATGACGTTAGCTGATCTAGTTGAATCCAATTCAGATAACGAATTTGACACCTGCTCAAATGAGATACATTCCGGAGACTATGTTTTAATAAAGTTTGCTACAAAAAAGAAACTGGTACATTACGTTGCGTTAGTAGAAAATATCAAGGGAAGTGAGTACTGCGTATCGTATATGCGTCGACAAGTGAACAAATTTGTATTTCCCACCGTGCCTGAAAATTATAATGTGGACAAAGACGATATTGTAATGAAATTACCCTCCCCTAGTTGCCAAGGAGGAACCGCTAGAATGTCCCAAAAGCTTGCTTTTCCGATAGACTTTCAAAAGTTTTCTGTTAATTAGCTAAATGTTTTATTATACTTACCCTACGTTCTATTTTTTAAGTAGAATTTACTTATTAGTTTACTTTGACTTGTTTTGTTAAACAGTATTATGAGATTTTTCCCATTTTTTGAAATTAAAACAGTACAAATTAATAATTCACAAAATGTTGTGTGTCTTATTTTTATACTTACCTGTATCAGTCTTTCCCCAGATCGAATAATATGATGGAAACCTTCGTTTTACACCCTGTCTCATTTTTTTCCAAGCATGTCTTATTTTTGCCCCAACGACAGGAAAAAAATGAGACAGAGATTTATTTTTTTTTATTAAAGAAATACTTGTTTTTATGACATTTGGTGAATATAATGTAATTTCCCGTGAAATTTTACCCACTTTAGGTATTTTTTTATTTACTTTAAGGTTTTTTTAATGGGAAAAAAATAAAAAGATATGTAAAATGTCCCATTTTTACCCCACCGCGCCCTAACTGTCATCATTCACATAAATTAAACATGTTGACTAAATAGTTTTTAGACTGAAATCATAAATTTTAAATATTTTTGTGCCAAAAGTTCATCAGAAACTGTTTTATCATCATTTTTTCGCAGAAAAATTTTTGATTAACATAAAAAAATAAAAATTTCCCAAATTTATTATTTTAGTCAAATAACTATCTACTCAACACGTGTTTATATTTTTATCAATAATGACATGTATTCACGATTTCCGTTCTAAATATCTTCAGAACGGTTGCTCGTAGCGATTTTTACCAAGAGACATTTTTTACGTAGAAAGTCACAGAAATGTATATTTTTTCACTCAGTAGTTTTATACAGGTACGGACGAAAAGTTGTCACCCTTTAAAACAGTTAAAACACATGTAAGTGGCGCCCCCTAGAAATAGGAGTCATATTGACATCAAAATCAAATTTGCCATGTCAAAGAACTACCAGACGCCAATTTTCATCCAAATATTGACGTTACTTCAAAAATTATTTGTAAAATATCGTAATAAAAATAAAATGTCTACACCCTGTATCTCCGAAACTAAGCATTTTAGGACAAACATTTATACGGACTTTTTTACTTATTTTTAACTACAGAATATGCTGCCAAAGTTTCCGGAATACAGTTCGGACCACCCTGTATATATTAGATTAAAATTTACAAGAAAGAAAGATCAGAAAAAATCCTCAGAAATTAAGCGAAAAATATATTTTTTTTAAATTTTCAAATTAAAATATCTCGATTATTTTGGACTTATTTGAAAACGGGAAAGAGAAAATGTGTTTCTTTTACCGATATCTACCAGCCCTGAAAATATTTGCACTTATTTAAGACTCACCCTGTATATAAATTCTTTGATAAACAATTTCAGTTATTTCGAAATTGCAAAGAGATTGAAAAATATCCCTATACTTATATTTTTTTTTGTTCAAGTTTAAAATTTCCCACGTAATCTCGAAAGGATCGCGTAAATCCATAAAGGTTTATGCCATGGATGGTAGCAAATATTTTGTATTAAACTAATTGATATCTGTTGAAAAAAACTTAAAAAAATATTCTTGAATAGTTGTATTTAGATAATTTAAATCCTTTTTTTCTTTGTTCTTTGTTTTTGTTTTTTTTGCTGTTTGTTTCCGACGACGCGACGGACGGGAAGAAATATACTTCCCGAAACGTTAAAAAAAATTTTGTCCGTTAGACAAATTTGTTTTATTAGTAAACCACCGCTGACAAATTTTCTTAAAGTACAAGTGACGAAAAAAAAGTAAAAAGTGGCGAAATATCCTTTGAAGGTATAGATATTTTTTACAATTCTTCAAGTATCTTTGCAAGACCTTTGCAGGATTCCCATTCCTGATTACGGATGGAGTCTTCCAAGTTCTTGAGTTCCGCTTTTAGAGGGTTTCTACTTGAGTAGCAGACTGGTTCTGGTCGAGTTAGTGGAATGTTCGCTCCCTTTTTAGCTGGATCATTTGCTTTTTCATTACCTTCTTTCCCTTAGTGAGCTGGCAGCCAAGGACTTTGATTTCTTTGCCTAATTTGTTCAGCTTCTAGGCATTCTTTGACCAACTTCGAATTGATTGATATTGAGTTGATCGCTTTTAACGTTCATTGACTATCAAATAAAATGACTATTTCTTGTTTCCGATAGTTCCCATCTAAGATAAGTTGTATGCATCTTTTGATAGCGTAGATTTCGTAGCCGGTAGCATGCTAGGGTAGGTGCCCATTGGTTCGAAGTATTTAGTTTTTTGGCCCAAATACTCCAATCCCTGTTCCTACATTGGTATACTGGTGCTTCCAAAACCAATACTACTAAAGTATCTAAAGCGTTCTTTAAACAATTATTCTCTGAACTACATTGTATATTAGAACCAATATTACTTAAACTGTATCACCATGCTATTATTATATTTTGTGTATTTTGTAATACAATCATCAAAATCTCAAACAGGATTCGTGGTACAGGCTGACAGGTTTTTTAGAATAGTGGATCACTCTGTGTGTAAAAAGTTTATTTCTAAAATGCAAATAGAAATTAGCATTATCACTGATGCATGTAGCTTGTTCGTGCTATTTAAGTTATAGCTGTCAGTTTTTTAATTATTTAACAATCTAATATTTACTAAGCAAACATTTTAAAAAGGAATAATAACAAATCGGATTCGTTCACAATTATTTACTTGCCATAATTAATCATGGGATATAAAATTAGCAGATAATATCATGGCCACATGTATATTTTTCTATGCTAAGTAAATACTGTAATTTATTGGCCTAATATTCAACAGTTCAAATGAAGTTTATGATATGAAATGCTAGATTTTTCTTGATTTTGAGTGTCAATGCACAGTTCATATTAAATGAAAACGATTTTTTTGTTAATAGTAGGTACTTACATTAGCTAAGCAGTAACTTACTAGATATTATAGCCTGAACATTTTAAATTTTCTTTTTTTATCAATTTAACACATATTCTTTAGATTTTAAAACAAAACTTTGAAAACAAAACATAAAAGTTTGACTTTTGATTTGATGTTAACTTTCGTAACTTTGTTTTAAGTATACCAATAGACAAAATGTGTGTTAAAACGTATTAGATGAAGAGGGAGGTTGGCATAGCAGAATTATTAAATAAAGAAATCAGAGCCATTTTGTCAGCATTTCGCAGAAATTCTTGAAGAATTGGACACAGCAAATAAATAAACTGGGTGTTTCAGGAACCCTGCTCAAAGAACTGGCTTTAGAGGACAAGGACGCATACAAATATCATTTGAGAATGTCTAAAGAACAATTCTTCTACTTTCTCAATTTCTTTAACGATGATGACTAAAGCGTTGTCTCGAGCATCCCTGTTTCGTTAACTATCGAGTTGGGTATTCCATAAACAGTCATGCTGTTGATAAATCAAAAAAATGTAACGGAATACTTTCAGGCTACTTTAGGATCATTTTGTCGTATTTTTGTTAACCCAAAACTAGCATACCCAAACCTCAAAATAAACTATTGAACACAGAACTC